GACAACAGTGGCAGCTCAGCCCAGATATATACTTATAGAAGAACTGCTAAGGTCAGATGTAAAGGAAGAGATGAGAATTTCACAGGTACCAAGAGCTAGGTGATAGAAGATAAGGAGGGTGTTTATCTCCATGAGATGGGCAGGGGGGAATCGAGGAGGAAAAGAGCCCAGAAACTGGCTCTGAGGAAACTGCCAGGGGGAACTCTAGCTATGACTTGATTTTCTAACTTCGGATTAGAGGCAGTGTTTCCAAAGTCCATTACTGTTCTCCAAAATTCTTTTTCCTGGGGCTGAGAGACCATGAATAAGGAGGGCCCCTATTTCTCTGGCACCAGGGAATGAGAAAGTAGGTTAAATAGCTTCAACTATCTGTCGAGAAAATGCCTATGTCAGGACAACTCTCTGTGGTGAAACTGGTAGAACCAGCCACGCACTTCGATGGCTTCAGATTAACAAAATAAGAACAACGATTCTGCTTGCTCCTTCTCAAGAACAGATGGGCCGAAAGAGAGACTGCTCAGTCAGGCCCCCTGCATTTCCTAGCTTCCCGAAGGCCTTGCCTTTTGAAGGAAAACAGACCCTCCTCAATCAAGCGGGCCTAAGGGTGTCAACCTGGTGTGGTGCCATACCCTCTACCCTCCTGACACAGCACCACAGCTGCTACAAGGATATGAAGACACCATATAACCATCCCTTGGTTAAAATTCTGATTCTAGGGCCGCCTGGCTGGCTCAATTGCTAGATCATACAACTCTTAACCTTGGAGTCATGAGTTCGAGCCCCACACTGGGTGTAGACATTACTTAAAAAATCTTAAAAAAAAAAAAAAATCTTTAAAAAAAAAAAAAAGTGATTCTATTTACTGGCCATAATAGCAGAAACCAAAACAAGTCTAAAACTGAAGATTCTTAACTCCTTAGTGACAGTCAATACATGAAGAAGGACAGAACACCAAGCATGCTGAATTTAAGCAGAAGAAAAAAATTATGAGGAAAAGTCAGATAAAGAAGAGTACAGAGAAGAGTAGGGCTGCGTTAGACCCTTGAGGGACTCAACAGGCATGCTCAGGCTGGAGAGCTGGCGGCCAAAGAATCCATGACCTCTACCCTCCAGACGAATACATAAAAAGCAGGATGATGCTCATACCTTAGATAAGAGAATCATTTTTTCCCTTGTTTAAAAACTAAACAGAAAAACATCATTACTTTGCTGACTCTATTGGCCAAACAATCCAAATCTTTTAGAATTCCTTTTGATACCCGAAGCTCAATTTAGGGGGGAAGAGAAGTTTCCTCCCCTACTCAGACTTAGTATCAGTTCTTAGATTTCTCCCCATAATAGTAACTGCTCCCCTCCCAGCAACTCCTGCTTCATTCATCCTTCAGTGAGTCCAAACCGTTTTTATTCCCTACCACTTCCATCCATTTCCTTCCTCTTCCCAGCAACCTCCCATTGCTCTAAACAGCACCTCACAATTAGGTCTGAGCCCAAAATCACGGCAGAGTAAACTCCCCAGAAAATCTAGCATGCTCCAATTGTTCCAAGAGCTACAACTAGGACACTAACTCAGTGACTCAACAGTTTAAGGCTCAGAAGCCTGCTACGTGTTAATTCATAAACAGGTAACAGCGAAGAGGCCAGCCAGGTGGTCGGCAGCTAAAATACTGTGCGAAGAGGAAAGATAAATCAGTCTTCTCCAGTGACCAGCAGAGAACAAAGTCTGAATATCCTAAGCAGGAAACCCTTTGGTGCAACCGCTTTTCCAAACAGGACCAGGGAATGCAGGAGTGACTGCCATCCCTTCAGCAGGAAGGGATGCGAAGGCAGCCTACCAGGATTTTTCCTAAATAAAATCTGCCCTTTCCCAGTGGCCTTCGCTGGTCCAGGCTTCAGCCCTTAAGAGTGCAGAGAAAACCATCTGAGCAACAGGAAAAGCCCAGCTGCCTCCTTGGTAGATCTCTTAAATCAATTCTGCAATTCTCCAGTACACTCAGCTCCAGACATGCTGGGGAAAAGCCATTACTATCTGAAAAACCTCTCATCTAGTTCTTTCTCTCACAGAACCAATTGCTTAAGCTGCTTCAAGCCTCTCTGGTGGTTTCCTCCTACCTCCTTCCTAGTTCACGATCATCTCATGATGGAGAGCTGGGTAGGAAAACACAAAGACATCTGTGATTCCCAAGGAAGCGAGGCAGGGAAAAGGAGAGGATTCAACAGAGTAAAATTTTTAACAAGGCTGACAGGGTAAGCTTTTCCTCCTTGTGCTTAACCACATCTCTGAGATGTGTTGTTGCCTCTATCCGACAAGATGCCCAGGCACGTGGCGAGAAACTAGCAAAACTCATGTGACAAAAACACCCCTCACCTCCCCCATGGAGCCCCCCAAATGCCACCACTGGGAGAAAACTCACGTAAAGGCAAAGAAGAGGGTCGTGGCTCCCACTAAGAAGATGGCGGCTGCTGAGACTGGAACATACTTGCTGGGCTTGAATCTCTTTCCAGACTCTGCGGGCATGTTGGAGCTCTGATGGGAGGTCTGCCCTGCCGCATAGCCCAGGCCCACACGGCGGCAGAACAGACAAGAAAACGGGATGAGGGAAACAACGGAGAAAAAGAGTACAGAAGGAAACCAGGGAAACAGAAATTTAAAATTATCACCCTTCCCCCTCCCAAGGAAAACAAAAGGTCAAAAGATCTCAAATGAAGGAAAGCACATGGGAGGGGGAAAGGTGATTCCAAATCATGAATAACCACCTCCCCAAAACAAGGCAAGAGGGAGAGATTAAGAAACACAACTTGTACAGTTTAAAAACTGGAGACGAACAGTAGGCTGTACACATGCAAACGGTTGCAGGTAGAGAACATGGGCCGTCAGACAGATCAGGGAATAGCTCATGGATGGAGCAAGTCTTCAAAGGGCAAGCAGGGGAGGGTATTAGGGTAGGGGAGAGCACACGGGCAAGGAAAAATTCTTCTGAGGAGACACTCTAGCACCTCCACGACCAACACACTCCACCAGATGTGAGCTGCACCTAAGAGGTGTGCCCTGTGTTTCTATTTTAATCCAAAAGGGAACCTGAGGCCCCTTCCAGTTTTAAACAGAAGGTGTTTTTACTGTAGTCCTCGTCCCTTTTAGGCAGTTTTCTCAATGCCACCACTCCCACACCTTGACTTCAGGGCCTGTAGTCTGGCAATGGTGGTTTAATTTTATTTATTTTCTCTTGATGGCTAAAGCTGGGCAGCAGCTGTTACAAGGCTGAGTTGTAAATCCTTTTCTTCGAAGGGGGGGAAACAGAGAGAACACGAGCAGGCTTGTCTGTCTTCAATCTCTTCTTGTTATTCCCAAACCCTTTAAGGGCTCCGTTTCCTATAGAGTTCATGCAAAACTAAAGAGAAACGTAAAATCCCTGAAGCCATGTTCTTCCCAATAGTAGCAAAATAAGAAGAAATCAATTCCACTCAATGATAGTTCTAAAAGGGTACTGTGGATGAAAGCAAAGTTCCAAAGAGGTCCCTATTTCCAGGTTAGTCAATGTCTTTGATCTTTCTTCTTCAGTCTTGGGCTTTCTAGATGCAGAATTCAATGGGGTTACAGTGCCTCACCTGGGGGGAAAAAAAAATAACACAGATATCTTCATCAGATAAATTCTTTTAGAGGATTTCTTAAGAACATCAAGGCTAATACCCCACAGGCTACTCTGTAAAAAAAAGCGCCTTTTTATGGCATACACTTCACTTATGTGCATGTGGGAAAGGATTCTGAATTGGGAGAACAATGGATTCAGAATCCTTCACTCTTCTAAGTGCTGTTCATACTGGAAAGAGAAGAACATGGTTTCACCTGGCCTGAAGTCATCAAAGAACTAGCTCTCTTATAAAGGATACATCTCACCTGACACAAATGGGCAGTAACAAACATCACGAATATCAAAATCTAAAAACAAACAAGGGCATAGAAGTGAAGGACAGTCCTAGAAAAGAGATTTCTCTTTGGACAAAGAGAGTATTTATTGCAACAATGAAAAAAGAAAAAAGTAACCTCAAAATTAGGACAGTATGTCTCATTTCCTTTCTGTGTATGTCTCTGTCTCTTATCTCTCTATGCATTTTAGTTATAACCCTGAAGAGGCAAAAGCTGAGTTTTTGGTTTGCTGGAATAACCCATGAAAGCATCTGGTGAGAACTGTCCTTGAGCTGAAAGGTGAGCTGCTCTCTCTAAGAAACTGAGTCAACCATAGGGGCTGGCCCTTTTCTTCCCAATTCAACAATTTATTTCTACACTGGCCTATCAGAAGTCAACTGGGCCTCACATTCCCCATATGACTAAGAGTAACAATTATTTCTGTTGACTGTAGTAGCCAAGTAACACTTTGGATTTTATAGGATGCTTTTCATCTAGTGATCTCAAAGCACTTAACTCACATTATCTGGTGACACAGTCCCTTATCCCACTCCATAAAATTGAAGGCTAGAGAATGCCTGAGGCCATTCTACTTAATCACTTGAGCAGTCAGTCTAAGAACCAGAGTTCACATGCCCCTCTGCCAACACAAAGCCATTCTACCACTTTCTCATCCACTACCCTACTTGCCCAGTGACTGCATCTTGGAATCTGCAGACCAAAAATTTTACTTCAGTTAGAATTTAAAAATAAAGTTCATTTGACCCAAGCAGTTCAGTATTTCCCTTAATACCAATGGCAGAAATTGCTACGTTGGAAGATTCAAACAGTGAAATAAAAATGTGCCCTGGAATTCATCACTTCCTCTCTTAACCTGTGGCATGGAAGGCAAAGACACCTTCCTTCAAGATACTGTCTCTCTCCTTAAAAAAATAGAGCATTAGAGGGCAAAGAGCAATATTAGAAGAGAGTGAACACTCAGAGAGTACAAGAAATTATGAAAGGCCTAAAAAAGATAAACCCCCTCTAGCGCCTGATTTTATGATTATTTAACACGCAGTTTCTATAGTAATCAAAGCTCAACCTTCTCAATTTAGGCCTAAGTAACTTTGTGAACAATGAGAAGCAAATTCTTGGGTTTGTGGGCAGCACTAACTAGTAAAATAAACTTTCCCCTCAAAACCCCAACGAGTAGAGAAGATGTAAAGCTACCCTGCTTCAGTTTTATCTAGAGTAAGTAATATCATTTGGACACCATATATTAGGGGCGCCTGGGTGGCTCAGTTACTGAGCGTCTGCCTTTGGCTCAGGTCATGATCCCAGGATAGAGCCCGACACCTCATTAGCCTCCCTGCTCAGCAGAAAGCCTGCTTCTCCCTCTCCCACTTCCCCCTGCTTGTATTCCCTCTCTCGATGTCAAAGGAATAAATCTTAAAAAAAAAAAAAAAAAAAAAAAAAGACACCATATATTATTTCAGATCATATTTTCTGACAGGAAAAACATCACGTGGGTTAATACTGCCATAGTAATGCAACATCATTAAAAGCCATGCAATTTGGGGCATACCATACTGTGAAACAAAAGTGATCAACATTTGAAATGTTTAGGGAATATACATTAGAAGGCAGAAAACAAAAATGGAACAATTTATTGGGTATAATAAAGATGTACCAAGTCTAAGGACAAAAATGTGCTGTGGGCAGTAGGGATGAGACTGCAGGGTGAGTATGGTTCATCACAACCAACAGTCTGGATCTGTACCAGCATGAGAAAGGTGTACAAGAATGTGTATGACATATTCAGACACAAAGTAACCAATGGATTAAATATATGTACACAGAAAACAAACTACAGATCATATTGTATAAATGTTTAATACAAGTAGGTACCGCAAAAGGGTGAATGGAGAACAGCAGTACCACTGATAACAGAAATTATAATTTGTTGAAAAAAAGTAGTGTAACACTGCAATATAGTAAACCTGAATACAAAGTAGTCAAGGTATCATGAATAATCCACATGTCAAGATGTTGGCTGGAGTCAAGCAAAAGTTTAATAAGGGTGTTATTACATATGGAAGAAGACAAGTACATGGCAGTACAATTCTTATAAGCATTAGGTGAGTCTTTAAGAATGAGCGATAATGAGCAATATGAAGAGATCTGATAGAGTACGAGGGATACTGGGATAAAAGGATAGGGATGTGATATAAAATCAACCTAGTCAAGATGGCATTACCCAGAAAGTGAAAAATCCAACGCAAAAAATGGTCTAGGGTATAACACATATCCGATCCTACACCTCTTTCCATAACTTTTAAGTCACTTTCTTCTTTCTCATTAGCGTGTTTTCATTTGCCCAAGTGGGTAAAACACTTTCCACCTCCCTGTCCCACAAAGACATTCCTATAGATAAAATACTGGCAAACGCATTCGAGCTCCACTGGCAAAAAGTACAAAGTACTAAAAGCACGGAGCACCCAGCTGGTGGGGGTAGGGAGGAAACGGAAAGATGGGAGAGAACAGGTAACAGGATGAGGCTTGAGCCAAAATAAGTATCAGCAGAAGGGGACAAGGGACCTGAAATGCGAGGAGGTAAAAAGGGACCAGCACCCCGTCCCCACCCCGGAGCTGGGGCAGGGAGAATCAACATTTGGGGCAGAGTTGGCTAAGACCGAGAAGACGGAATCCGCGGCGGTAGGGCCCACTGAGGCTGCGAGAGACGGCAGAGCCCGGGGGCGCAGGGCCGGGGGCGGAAGGGGCGGCGGCCGGGCGCCAGGCGCGGAGGTCCGGAGCCAGGACCGGGCGGCCGGGCACTAACCCGTTCAGAGCCCCGGTGGCCGCGGATCCCCGGCCTCTACTCGTCGTCCGTTTCCGGGGCCCACGGGTCCCGCCGCAGTTGGATGACCCGGCCCGGGGGAGGAATGGGGCCTCAAACCACCTCCCCCCTCCTCGGTCCCCCTTCCCTAGAGGTCACACTCCCCTCCCACCTCAGTGGCCCGGCACTTCCGGTTCCGCAGGGGCCGGTGTCCCCGGTACTTACCCCCGGCGCGGTTCCCGTCACCGCCGCCGTCGTTGTCGCCGCCGCCTCCCGGCAGTGCCGTCCGGCCTCTGAGAGGCCGCGCGCGGCCCCCGCACGCTCCACGCCCGCCCAGCTACGCGCGCTCCCGCCTGGCGACGCTCGTCTTCGAGCCGGCGCGCGGCCGCTGCCCTCAGCGCCGGGTCTCGAGCCCTCCCAGCGTTCCCATTGGCTCCCTGTCCCGGGCGCGCGCGACGCCTCGCGCGGGGCACGTTTCTCTCATTCATGCGGCTCGCGACGCCGCGCCCGCCCCCGTTCACTCTCCCATTCACCCCTAGCCCCCACCCCCACTCCGCTCTAGGGCGTGCGCGCGATCAGGGCGACCGCGGCGACCTCGCGGCCTGATTGGCTGCAGGAGCACAGCGCCGTACGCACGCGAGAGAACGAGCGCGCGCGCGCACGGCCGTCGGGTTCCGCAGGCGACTGGGCGAAAAGGACTGGCGTACTGCGCAGGAGTCAGAAATGGGGAAGTGGCTGGGCGAGTCTTCCGTTTTCCTGCGTCCTATTTTCAATCCCTACAGTATCCAAGAAGAAATCCTCGGAAGTAAAATTAGTTATATGTGTGTGCTGGAGATACTCAAAAGCGAGGAGCCACCCTCACTCCTTCTCCAGACCCCCTCCAAGTAAGTGTGGTACGGCCCAGACCGGCTTCTGCTATGGCCAATCATCATTCAGCCCCGTGGCGCATTGGCCAACCGCTTGGCGACTGAATAGCTTCACCCCTCCCTCGCCTCTCCCCTCGGCCCCATGGCGATAACTTTATTTAAAGCGCTCCTAATGGAGGAGACCTCAGTGGAGGGGGCTCGGTGGTGCCAGCATAATGGGTTAATGGGCCGGTCTGGCTGTGACTCCTGCTTGGAAGGCGCGCCAGGACTAGGAGGGTCGTGTGGGGCGAAGTTCCTGCCAAAGGCGCGGGAGGAAGAGGATTGAGAGCGGCGCGAGTTGCGGCCCACCGTAGGGCCACCGGTGGAAAAAGGCTCAGAGTAGGCGCCCCCTAAGGCGGTGGCAGCCCCCCGGAGTGCGAGCAGACTCTTGGCTTCATTCCCTCAGTTTCTCACTGCAGCACAAGGGATGGACGCCCGCTTCGCTAGCCTCGCCGCAGGCCGGGAACACCCTGGAATCCGGCTGTCCTTGGCGAGCAGCTGGCCGACTCTGCATAGATCGCAGCGCCACACTTTTTCCCTAATTAGCCCTACCCAGCTGTGAACCCAAGAGCAAGGCCAGGTGTTCTCTCCTCATTTAGCTCGAGGCCATTTCTCCTTTGAAAGAAGCTCTGGCTATTACATAACAGTCTTTCAAAAGTGTTCCAGCAGCCACTTCTCTGAAGCCAAAGTTGTTCACCTGTTAAGTGTGATTCTAAATCCTGCGGTCTGTCCTTGGGCTTGGTGTCAAATGTTGCTGGTTTAACTGTGGTCTAATACTTCAGTACTAGGCAGCAAGGTAAACGGGAAAGGTCTACCTTCAGTTTTCTGGGGTCTCGTTCTCATACGTATGCCTCCTCTGGCATGGCATATGTATCAGGGTCTAGTTCATTCTTGCTAAGGACTTCAAGCCACGACTTATTGCAACACACTAGAGAGTTCTCTTTTAGTGACCAGTGTGTATTAAGAAATGAAGTTTTCTTTTGTTTTTAGGGTTTTGTTTTGTTTTTTGGGTTTTTTTTTAATTAAAAAACGAAATCTTGGGGCGCCTGGGTGGCTCAGTGGGTTAAGCCGCTGCCTTCGGCTCAGGTCGTGGTCTCAGGGTCCTGGGATAGAGCCCCACATCGGGCTCTCTGCTCAGCAGGGAGCCTGCTTCCTCCTCTCTCTCTTCCTGCCTCTCTGCCTGCTTGTGATCTCTGTCAAATAAATAAATAAAAATCTTAAAAAAAAAAAAAAAGAAATCTTTAAAACACTTAAGCTCATATAAAAGGTAAAGTTATTATTGGAGATAGAGTATTTATAGAGGCTTTCTATCTGTAAATCAGGTTAATTTGTTTCCTTAAGAAATCAAATTTCAGGGGCGCCTGGGTGGCTCAGTGGGTTAAGCCTCTGCCTTTGGCTCAGGTCATGATCTCAGGGTCCTGGGATCCAGCCCTGCATGGGGCTCCCAGGGAGCCTGCTTCTCCCTCTCTCTCTGCCTGCCTCTCTGCCTATTTGTGATCTCTGTCAAATAAATAAATAAAACCTTAAAAAATAAATGAAATCAAATTCCATTTTTCTATGGTATATTTTTTTTGGATTTTAAGACTTCCACTTCCCCAACTTCACAAGTTAGGCGTCTTACCTTTCCTACTTTCAGCCGTCTTAAGAACTTGTAAACTGTCTTGTCTTTTGGCTAGACACTGCCAGATGAAAATAAAAATTCGATCTTCCACCAACCAGTCACACATAATAAAGCTCTCCTAGGACACTGGACTACTGGATGCCAACCTTTTAGCTGGATGAGCACTAATGGTGGCATAATCACTATCCCAAGGTTTAGGCACAATTATATTTTCTTGTCCATTTTATTTTAGGGTTATTTAGCAAGATATTTCCTGGAAAGGATGTTTAATAGAACATAAGGTTTAAACTACCAGCCTCTTCTCAAAAATATTGCACAGTGAAATCTAGGCTAAAACAAGTTAGACCACCAAACTTCAAATAAATTACTATGCATGTATATCACATAACACCTTATACTTTTTTTCTGATGTGTACTTTTTCCAGTCCTCTTCACTTGTATCTTCACATGCCTATAGATGGCAAACCATAAGGTCATTCCAACATACCATAAATAAACAGGCAGACAGAACAAACTGCTACCCTTGGGTATAGGCACAGTGAAGTTTTTTAGTACCAAAATTGCCACTGACCTCTTTGGGTTCTTTTAAGTTTATTTTTCTTTTCTTTTAGTAATGCCTGCACCCAACATGAGACTTGAACTCATGACCCCCTAGATCAAGAGTCGCACGCTTTTCCAACTGAGCTAGCCAAGTGCCCCAACCTTTTTTATGTTTAAATACCACTACGCATGGGGGCGCCTGGGTGGCTTGGTTGGTTAAGTGTCTGCCTTCGGCTCAGGTCATGATCTCGGGGTCCAGAGATCAAGCCCCACATCTGGCTCCCTGTTCAGCAGGGAGTCTCCTCCCTTTCCCACTCCCCCTGCTTGTGCCCTAATAAATAAAATCTTACAAATACATACATGCATTCATACATGCCATTGCCTTCCTTCCTGTCCTTAGGCAATCTGCTTGTGTTAAAGCACTTTATCCCTTTGTGCTCTGGATCCCATCCCCTTCACTCCTTCATTTTCTTCCAGATTTTTTCTTTGATGTATTCTTTTTAAGATTTTATTTATTTGACAGAGAGCACAAGCAGGAGCAGTGGCAGGCAGAGGAAGAGGGAGAAGGCGGCTCCCCCCTGAGCAGGAAGCTTAATTCGGGGCTCGATCCCAGGACCCTGGGATCATGACCTGAGCCAAAGGCAGATGCTTAGGCAACTGAGCCACCCAGGTGCCCCTCTTTAATGTTCTATTTGGAAAAATACAGAAAAAAGAGAATGATGTCAAGAAGATTCTCCTCCCCCCATCATTAAATTCTCTCTCTAGTCTGTTGATAATGCTGAGGCATCCTACCTAAAAAACTAACAGCAAACCCTCTCTTGACCCTACATCCAGCCCCCCTCCCTTTCTTAGCAAAGTTTGTCTATGGAGGTTATCTACACATCTTCACAATAATAAATGTATTTCAATAGGACTTTTGTCCGTACCATTCCAAAACTATACTTGTAAGGTCAAAACTGACATCCATGCTTCCAGATCCATAGTCCAATCTCCTTGGCTAACTCACACTACACTTTACCTCTTATGTTTGGAGTGCCTTTAAAGTCCACCTCTGTCTCCTGATTTCCACCTACAAAGTCCCTGACTTCATCCAATACTGCTGCCTTAAAAAGCCCTCTATAAGCCAACAGCTCCCATGAACCTTCAGCCCTAACTTCCCCAAACCTAGCTTGTTTCCACACGTCCACACAGCATCTCCATTTGGATGACTAATAAGCATCTGAAACTTAATATTGCTAAAGTAGAATTTGATATTCCCTCATCCCCTCCCTGAGTTTCTCCAACCTCATATCCAATCTAGTTACTCAAGTAAGAAATACAAGAATCAGCTTTGATCCCACTTTCTTTTCCTCACCACTCCCATCAGCAGGTCCTATCTTATCTCCAAAAGATCCCAACACAATCTCCTACTCCACCTCGGCTAGTCTAATGCCCCATCAATTCTCACATTGAAACTACCACAAGTCTCCTCACGTATCCTTGCTCCTACTCTTCCTTCTATAAGCCATCTTCCACAGAGCAGTGATCTTTTCAAAATCAGGCCATTCCTCCATTTAACCACCTGCTTTGCTCTGGATTATGTCTCCCAAATTCATAATGTTGAATCCTAAGCCCCAAAGATGATCGTATTAGGAGGTGAGGCCTTTGAGAGCTACTTCGATCATGATTGTAAAACTTTCATGAACAGGATTAGTGCCTTTATAAAAGCGGTTCCACAGTGCATCCTTGGCCCTTCTATGTGAGGACATAGCTAGAAGCAGGCAGTCTGCAACCGCAAAGAGAGCCATCATCACAACACGACTGTGCAGATGCCTTGACTTTGTAATTTCCTGCCTCCAGAACTGTGAGAAATCTCTGATATTTATATCCCAATCTGTGGCATTTTTCATATAGCAGTCAGAAGGAACTAAGGAACTAAGGAACTAAGACACCACCCCTCTCCCATCCTTTGCCACTGCTCTTAGATTACAGGAGCCCAATATTATCTGGTCTCTGCTGCCTCCTCCAGCCTCAGTTTTTACCAATTGCCCCTTGATAACACCACACCAGCCTTTCCCTTCATCGAATACATCATTTTTTTTTCCTTTCTTGGGATTTTGCATGAAGATGTCCCAATTTCACACAGCCATTCAGGTCTTAATGTGAAATGTGCTCAGGGGAGGCCTTTCCTGACACCAATCTAAAGCATTTTCCTAGTCATTCTATCTCAGACCACCCAATTTTAACTCCGTGTAGCACTTACCTTTTTTGTTTATTCTATGAAAGCTCTGTGAGATTTTGTCTAACTTGTTCCCCACCTGGAATGGTTTCTGGCAAAAAAGATGCTCAATAAATATTTCTATTTGTTATATAAATTAATATTTGTGAAAAGAATAAATGGATGAAGGGCATTAGACAGTACTCAATTATCCAGTCTAAATTAGGAATACAAATCATTTGCAAGAAATCAGAGAATGGGGCTTTCCCAGCTTCTTACCACCTGAAAGCTCAGTTTACACTGACCTAGGGCCCAGTTCCAATCAGACAGACAATAGGAATGATAGCTGCAGCTGAGAGCAAATGGGCTATGTCTGGAAAATGATTAAACCAGAAATCTCAATCCAAGTTTATCACCACCGCCTGTAGCTCCTCAGAGAAACCTGGCATTGACAACAGATTTAGTATCTGTTTACCTACGAGGAAGGCAAAGGAAAGCCATTATAAAAATTCACCTGCTTGGGGACGCCTGGGTGGCTCAGTTGGTTAAGCGGCTGCCTTCGGCTCAGGTCATGATCCCAGCGTCCTGGAATCGAGTCCCACATCGGGCTCCTTGCTCAGCGGGGAGCCTGCTTCTCCCTCTGCCTCTGCCTACCACTCTGTCTGCCTGTGCTCATGCTCTCTCTCTCTCTCTCTCTCTCTCTCTC